CTTCTAGAGCAACATCTATCATTAACAACACCAGATTGACAATCCCTATGGCCACACTTTCTAAACATGGTAATTTTGTCTATACTACAAAGAATTTTTTTAAATATTTATATTAGCCACAATTTTGTGGTTAAAAAATTATATTTTTTTTAACATTAACTTTTGTTCATATATATATATATGTATGTATGTATGTATGTATGTATGTATGTATGTATGTATGTATGTATTATCCATTTGATTAGTCGTAAGATTAGATTTTAAGTACCATAAAAATAGAAGGCATTTGAACACTTAACTATTTCACCTTAACATTTAGTTGATCCTTTTCGTAGTACAACAATCATTAAACATTACTAATTAATACAATGTATGCGTTAACGGACAAACACATTCTATTTAGCTATTGATGAGAAACTAAAATACAATCAATGGATCTATAAATATTTACTTGCATTTTGTGTCTACACCAAATGAAATAACTGTTAAAAATAAGCAAAAATACATACCAATTAATAATAATTAACTAATTAATCAATGTGCGTATGAAAAATATTATGTCTTGTATTCACTGATTTTACGTAAACATTGGGTGCGAAATTCGTTTTACTATACTATAAGAAAAGGTATAGCAAAAAGGGTAACTACTTAAAGCACTCCCAAAAATGAAAGAAATCGAATAAATAAGTGGATCTCTAGTTTTAAATTTCCAAGAAAATATATCTAATGTCAAACCACCATTTTAGAGCTACTATTAGGAAATCAAGTAATGTAAGTGTGTGCGGGTAAAATTGAGGATAAAGTTACCCCTGATTTTACGGTAAATAAACGAGAGGACAGCGCGACTCCATATGGCCTTGGGTAATACCGAAGGCTTTCACAGACCAGAACCCGAGGAGGACGAATGGTGCGCCCGGAAGCGGACACGGCCAACCATTGAGCTCGAGCAAAGAAAAGAACCGAGGCTTAGGGAAAGACAGTTAGACGAGACAAATGGGGGGCCGAAATATCCGCCCTTAACCGAATATTACGGCCCAAGTCTCGCCCAATATCAACTGCGTATCAATATTGACCGGAAGAAGAAGATCTTTATCTTACTTAAACTTGTACTAAGATTGAAACTCCCCAACTATATAAATAAGAGAATTATTTTATTTTGAGGATCATTGTTGGCACACATACCAAGGCAATAAAATTAATTTTGGTTCTCTAGCTATTGTTCAAAGCGTTCTTCAACTATTTGTTTATTGAGTTGCAACCAAATCCATTCCAAGGGCTGGATCGGAACCAACTTCTAGCATCTAAACATAAAGCTAGACTTAATCATCCATCACACTTTGTTTGATCGCTTTATTTTCCTTTAATTCAATTATTTACTTTTCTTAGATCATTCGTGTTAAATTAAATCACATATTCTTTAAATTGCGTATAAATTCAATTGTTACTCATTTTAAGGTAACAGTTTGGTACCCACAGTTGGGATAAGGAAAATAGTGGTGATTTAATATGAATCTCCATAACACACCCTATCCTTCGTGTTGTTGATAAAGTGACGAAGGAGAATCACGATCCTCCAAAAGGACGTATGGATCTACCCGAGCAGACCTCGTACCTCTTACAAAAATTGAGGACCACCGTGTCCATCGGGCCAAGCGTGAAGGGGTACGTATAAATGCTCAAGTACCCCTTCACGTGCATTGTGATGTCCTCATCAGGACCGGTGATGACTACTTCCTTGCCTTCCCACTTGTAATCCTCCCGAACCGTTGAGAGCGTGTCTTCGGTGATGGAGTCAGTGGCGGATCCAGGATTTTAGGTTCGTGGGTGCGTAACATTTTTGACGTAAAGTACTACCAATCACATTGTATAAGTACACAAATATTTGAATACGACGATAAAAAAATTAATAAAAAAACTCTTAATTTTATTATTATGGACGTTGCGAAATTGTAATGGATAAGACAACTAACATGAAAATAAATGGTGGGCTTTACCATTCTAGAGGACCACTTCGTCTTCAAACGAACTTTGGAGTACCTTTTAAGTAGATTTTCGTTTTCTTTCTTTGTTATAGTGAATTAAATGAAGTTACAAAAAAAAAAATTTAAAAGTTAAAACATAAATCAATGAAAAAGAATGAAAAAATAAGTAGTATTGGATCAAGATAGTGGCTAGTGAAAGAAAAAAAAAGTATACCTAATTGAATGGGGCAAAAGAAAGAAGCTTAGATAAATAAGGAAAATGCGTCCTAAAAAGGAGCCGTTAGAAGTGAAAATCGAACTTATAATACATACACTCTTTATCAAGGTCAATGGGTGCTTAAGCCCCCAAATTTGATATGTACATCCGTCACTGGATGGAGCAGATATACCTCCACACCTCCTCACCACGATCTTCTTGTTTGGAGGTCTTCTTGACCTTAAAATCATTATCTGTGGAACAACCTCCGGGGATAAAATCCTTAAGAGGAGGTTCCGGGACTACTGCCAGTAGGGTCGCTTCGATATCAGCGGTCGAGGTAGAAGTTGAAGGAGCGGTATTTTGAGGCACAAATTTCGAGGTTTTTGCCATCTTTAGCTCAGAATATGAAGGTTTAAAGGCGGATATGAAGGTTTGAAGATGGGCATGAAGATATGAAGGTCTGACTCGAAGATTCAAAGTTTATCGAATTATCCATATTTAGTATGATTTCAGCCATTCATCAAGTTTTTAATTGGTGCTATTTAAAAAGAGATATCGGTTTTATGGCTAATTACATGAAAATTTTCACAAGTGATTGGTACAAAATAACACAAGTGACTGATAAATAAAACATAAGAAATCTTTATAAGATAATTTTTCATTCAAATTGTAACTACGTATAAAAATATTTTTTTTGTTTAACGGTAAGCCCTACAAACGAATTTGAATTTTAAAAATGAAATGGTGCTTATTAAATATCAAATTTCTTAATACTAAAACTTTCTATTTTGCCGAACTTTTTTTAAAAGTAATTTTGCCCTCTGGCGGCGACGACCTTTTTTATATCATTCGAAGCAACCTTCAAGGTACATACATGACTTGATTAAACCAATTCCGAAACATCTATTTATCTTCTACCATTAGTCGAACCCTCTGTCTGTGATCTTTTCTCGAATGTGAATCTCATGTGTAGAGCAAAATTATGCCCTAAAGTAAGAAATCGTTTTTGACTTTTCCCCTCTAGACATACCAGAAATTGTGGTGATTGAAAAATAAAACAATCTTTCAAGAGCCGAAACTAAACTTATTTGCATATATGAAATGCTGGTATTAATGTGAAAATGAAAAAGATAATGACAAAGCTTGAATCTAGTTTTGTTAAGAGAAAATATAGCAAGATGATAACTATTTTTATTAATTCTTTGGATAAGTCGAACAAGATACAACCATAAAAATATATCATTTTAATTAATAAGATACAAAGGAAACCAAGATTATGCATCACTCATGCTTGAACAAAGAAAATATGTCCTTTTTCAAGGACAAAATTCCCTTCTTTACACTTGTGATTATTGCCATATGGGGTTGCCACATATTTCCAGCCAACAATTTGCCCACAACAACAACAAAATATATCTGCAATTGTGTGCATTTCAGAAAGTATCATTTTCTCCTCATTAGGTCCAAAAGTTATATTTACCACATTTCTGAACAAGTATGCTTTTTCCTTGTGGCAAATAAAATCCTTTGACATAAGGTTATTAGTAAGGGCAAGTTGGGTTTTGCAGATTTTGCAGTTAACAGTTTTGCCTTCAAGATCCACCAAAAATAACCTCCCCATTTTTTACACTAAAGTAAGAGCAGGAATTTGAGGCTTAGCAAAAATAATAGAAGAGAATGGAATAGAATAGAGAAGATGGTCTCCAATTTAAAGCAAAAAAAAGTAGTAGTAGAATCCCTAAGTGGATCTCCAGTATTAGTTTTTCTGGAAATATAATATATTAGAGACCATATTTTAATAAATTAACTTAGTCAAAACTTAAATAACTTGTATGATTTTATATTTTGCTTAAAGTAAATATGACGCTCATGTATGATGTATCTGCTCATGCACAGACATAGCGACATGCTGCAGACTATGTTACATGCAGATAAAATTAATAAAACTGAAACAAACATGTGATTGCAACAATCTACATTTTTTGCGTGTATTTAGTTAATAAGTTGTTAAGGCTATCTTAGTAGGACTAAATTGCGTCAGTATCTCTTTCATTTTATGGAGGAATGCATAAAGTGTAGCTTTACCTTTTTTTATTTTTTAGAAAAAGTTATTTCTGTAATATAAGGTTTTCTTCCAACCTATAATATAACGTTTTAGGGATATATATATNAATTAGTTTGTTCATTATGTAATTAATTTGTATAATATTTTACTTGATTATAGTAAATATGATGCTTATATAATTACTCATGCATAGAAATAACGACTATTGAAAAATCTGTGTTACATGCTGATAAAATTAATAAAATATAAAAAAAATACGTGTGTGCAATAATGCGTATAAGTTTTACGTGCATTTAATTAATAAGTTATTAAAATTATGCTAATGAAGATTTGCGTAGAGGTTTGACTAAATTGCTTTAGTATCTCTTGAAATTATAATTACCAACTTACTTGTAACGACCCAGCCGGTGGTTTTGAGGGTTATAGTCTCATTCCCCCATTTACTGCTCATCTTATGCTTAATAGTTGCTATGTGACTTGCCGGGGTAGTTGAGTCGGTTCCGGGGAGGTTTCGGAATGAGTTGAGACACTTAGTCTCAAGGTTAGAAGCTTAAGTTGAAAATTGTGACCAGATATTGACTTATGTGTAAATGGCTCCGGAATGGAGTTTTGATGGTTATGTTAGCTCCATTGGGTGATTTTATACTTAGGAATGAGTCCAGATAGTAATTTGGAGGTCCGTAGTTGAATTAGGCTTGAAATGGCGAAAGTTGGAAATTTAGAAGTTTGACCGAGAGTTGACTTTTTGGTTATCGGGCTCGGATTGAGGTTTCAGGAGTTCGAGTAGGTCCGTTGTGTCATTTGTGACTTGTGTGAAAAATTTACAGTCAATCAAAAGTGATTTCATAGGTTTCGACATCGAATATTGAAGTTAGAAATTCAAAAGTTCATTAGGCTTGAGTCGATGCGTGATTCGTGATTTTAGCGTTGTTTGATGTGATTTGAAGGCTCGAATAAGTTCATATCGTATTTTAGAACTTGTTTGTATATTTGGTTGAGGTCCTGAGGGCCTCGGGTGAAGTTCGGATGGTTAACGGATCAAGTTGAAATCTGAAAGACTGTTGAAGCTCACCAGGTCTGGTGCAATCGCACCCGCAGAGTTTTGATCGCAGGTGCGAGCAGGAGAGGGAAAATGCGGCCTGGAGAGGAGCATGCAGTGGTCGGTAGTGCGAGAAAATTTCCGCACCTGCGTGGTCGTAGATACGGAGTAAGGGATGCGGAAGCGGGCTCAGAGAGGAAGCTGGTGAGCGCAGATACGGAGGGAGTTCCGCAGATGCGGACTCGTACCTGTGCGTGTGGGATCGCAGAAGCGAAGAAAGAGATCCCAGGCTTGGGTGATCGCAGAGAAATGTCCGCACCTGCGTGATCGCAGATGCGGTTAAGTAGGTCGCAGGTGCGAAAGCATTGGTAGTGTTATATCCGAAGGGTTTTGTGATTTTTCTCATTTTGGACCTTGCAAACTCGGATTGGGGCGATTTCTGAGAGGGATTTAGAGGGATTTCTTGATGTAAGTCACTTGTGATCATTTGTATTCAATAGTTTTGGTTCCCCATTGAATTTCCCACCTAGTTTTTGTGTTTTTGAGGTGTAATTTTGGGAGTTTGAGGCTAGGAATTTGGAGAGTTTAATTTGGGGATTTGAGCGACGATTTAGTGTTGGATTTTAGTAAATTTGCTATGGTTGGACTCGTGGTTGAATGGGCTTCCGAATTTTATAACTTTTATGGGATTCCGAGACGTGAGCCGGGGTGTTGACTTTTGAGTTGACTTTTAGTTAATAACTTAGTATTTTCTTGTGGAATTAATTCCTTTCGCTTGTGTTGATTGTATCGAATTGTTTGTGGCTAGATTTGAGGTATTTGGAGGCCGATTCAAGAGGCAAGGGCTTATTGGAGTAGAGATTTGCACGATTTGAGGTAAGTAACACTTCTAAACTTGGTTCTGAGGATATAAAACCCAAAATTACGTGTTATATGATTGGTGTGGAGGTGACGCACATGCTAGGTGACGGGCGTGTGGGCGTGCACCGTAAGAATTGTGACTTGGTCGATTCCATGGAATTGTATAGTTGATTAATCTTGTCATTACCCGTGTTTTTACCATATGTTCGAGAAGTTGAGCTGCCAGTCATGTTAGAAATCATGCTTAGGCTACGTATTGGTACTGTTGAGACCCACAGAGGTCGTGTTACATATTGAATTATTTGCTTAATTTACCATTGTGTACTCAGTCACAACTATTGTTTGCATATTATATCTTAGTCTTTGTTGTCCTTTATTGATACATTATAGCATCATTGTTTCTGCTGATTATCATGATTCTTATGAGCCCGAGAGACTAGAGAGATTGATGACTGAGTGAGGCCGAGGGCCTGATTGTGAGGATATTTATGGGATCAGACTGCACGCCACAACAAGTTTATTTGATTCATGCCATGATTGACTTATTATAGCGCTTGGGCTGGAATTGTCCCTCCGGAGTCTGCATATCCACAGTAAGCACATGTACATACTGAGTGCGAGTGCCGAGCGATTGTGAGGATGAGTGACTGTGAGGAACGAGTGAATGAGAGGACTGAGCGGCTGATACTCTGAGAGTATGCATATGATTCCATTACTGTTTTGTACGTTAGTTGGCATATATAACCGTCATGTAGACACTGAGATGTACATATCTTGTTTCAATTGAACTTGACATGATTTACCTGTTTGGGCTTTAACTGTTGAACTTGAAAGCATGCCTACATTTCTGCACTGTTATTCTGTAATTGAACTGTACCTATGGAGTTCGTCACTACTTTCAGCCCAATAGTTAGACTTGTTACTTACTGAGTTGGTTGTACTCACGCTACATCCTGCACTTTGTGTACAGATCCAGGTGTTTCTGGACACGATGGTTGTTGATCATTAGAGTTTACCGACATTCGAAGATTATCGAGGTAGCTGCGCTAGCGTCCGCAGACTTTGACTCTCCTCCCCTATCCCTCAGTCTTATTTACTTAGCTTCAGTTTTTCTTAGACAATATTTTAGACTTATATTGTATAGATGCTCATGTACTCAGTGACATCCTGATTTTGGGAAACTTATAATTCGAGTTGTGTCATTTTATTCGGTTTACGAGATCTTTTACTTATCTAAAATTTGTTTTAGTATACTCTAAATTTGAAAGTATTGGAAGTGTTTGAGTTGTCGGCTTGCCTAGTAACATGATAGGCGCCATCACGACAGGTTGAGTTAGGGTCGTGACAATACTGCTATTTTTTCAGATATACATCATCCATATAGATTTTGATTAGTTATTACTAGATTCAAAGTACCATAAAAACAGAAAAAGATAGAAAATCTAATTATTTCTAATATCTAGTGTTCATTTCATAAATACAACGAACGTTAAACATTAATATTAGTGCTATTACGCATTAACAAACAAATATGGCATGCTGGAAAACTATGAGACATGCAGATAACAAGATTGATAAAATTTAGAAAGTTTGCGATAATATATATTTATTTTACGTATATTTAATTAGTAAATGTTTAACGGTATGCTGGTGAAATCTGTGAATACGTATCGACTAAATTTACTTAGTATTTCAAAAACAGTAATTACTAACATACTAAAATTTCATGAGATATATATAATCATATATAGGGTCGTCAAAATGGGCTTGGTCCGTGAGACCAGCCCAACCCATTCCGCTATTTGGGTAGGGTTGGTTTGGGATATTTAGCCCATTTAAAAGTGAGACGTATAAGCCCGGCCCAAGTCAGTCGGTTGGCCCTTGATGCTTGACCGAGGCTGGGCCTGGGCCGGCCCGTGGGCCAAAAATTAATTTTTAAATTTTAATATTTAATATTTAAAAAAAATAAAAAGTAAAAACCCTATTAACTATAATCCCCAAAATTAGATTGCTCATTTATACTTCCATATCAAATAGAATTTAGATTTTTGATACGCATGTAGTATGACAAGATTAGTTTTTCTTTTGCTTAATTAACAACGAACTAGGAAGGTTTTAAGTGTCCAATAATATTATTTTTTTCAAAAGAAAATATTACTTTAAGTGGCCAATGATCAGTTTGGTTACTTTAATATATTGTTAATAATTAAACTGCTCTTCAGTATAGAAAATGGTCAAGTTTTAATACCCAAAAAAAAATTGACAACACTAGCAAAATTCATAAATTTTAAAAATTTTATGGACTATAATGATAAAATCAGCAAATGATGTTAAACCTAAATTAAAAAACCTCAACATATAAACTTATTGAAGCAATTCCTGAACCTGAGGAAAGTAAAAGAAAAGTATTAAAAAAATATTTATGTCACATTAAAAATGAAGAGCTAGAGATATAAAGAATTTGCATTTCAATTACGAGATTCCTTGTTAAATATCAAGATTCTTGTACGCTCTAAACAAAGAGAAGTCGTTCATATGATTAAGAGACTATGTAACGAAGAAATATTTAAAGATTTGAAAAAAAAATCTAAAAACATTGAAGGGTCGGGCCGCCCTAGCCCACAACCCTATTAGGGCTGGGTTGGGCTGGCCACTA